AAACTGATGGGCAAAGCTAAGTGGTGAACCGAACAATGGAGATGTATTTGAGGTGCTTCACTAGCTCAAATCCTAAGGAGTGGGGGTAGGTGGATTTCTTGGGCAGAGTATTGCTACAACACCAGTTGGCATTAAGTAATAAAGACAACTCTGTTTGAGGTGTTTTATGGTCGACTGCCACCATCATTGTTGACATATGTTACAAGCACTGTTAAGGTTGAATCAGTTGAAAGACAACTGTTAGACTGAGATCAGAAGATTAAGGAGTTAAGGGCCACACTCAAGGAAACACAGAACCACATGAAGAAGGTGCATGACTGTCATCATCGGGAGAAAGAATTTGAAGAAGGGGACTGGGTCTATCTCAAACTTTAGCCTTACAGGCAAGCAACATTGTCTCTTAGAAAAAAACTCAAGTTATCTCCAAGGAATTGTGGGCCATACCAAATTGTGAAAAGGATAGAAGTCGTTGCATACAAATTAGACTTGCCAAAAGAATCATGCATCCATTAAGTGTTCCATGTGTCCATGTTGAAGAAGAAGGTGAGAGAAGGCACCTTGGTCCAAACTGAGCTACCATCAGTGCGTGAAGACGATGAGACACTCCATCCAAAGCCTCAAGCAGTCATTGACCAAAGAATTTACAAAAGGAAGAAACAAATTCCCATCCATTGGCAATGAATGTTACCTGTAGAAGCCACTTGGGAGGACTTCGAAGCCATGACGAAGCAATTTCCATAATATGGTATTGAGGACAAGACCGAATCTTAAGGGGGGAGGAAATATTACTTGTATTTTCTATTGTTATGTGTGATGAATAAGGCTCGCATGGATGAGTATAGAGTCATGTTAGGTGTGTTTTGTGGGTTGTTAGTTTGTCAATAGGAGCTTATTTAGTGGGTTGTTAGTTTGTTAGTGGGAGCTGATTTTTGGCTTATATCTTGTACGTGGGTTATGCTATCTTGTGGGTTGTTAGTTTGTTAGTGGGAGCTAATTTTTTTGCCCATATCTTGTCTATGGGTTAGGTTATTTACTGAATGGAAATACAGCTAGAAGGGGCACTTTTTGAACCAGCAACACGTATATTAATGAGGTTAGGTTTCTTCAATTGAACATGCTCTTTTGTTTGCTTCTTTGTACAACTTCTTCTACAATCAGCACCATAGGTACATCAAAAAACAAGAAGGTTTCACCTCAGTATGTACGAAAAACCAACATAAAGATATTGAGAAAGTGAGAAAGAAGATGGCCAAATTAAAAATTCGTGAAAGAGAGAGGGGCAGAAACCGGTTTGCTGGAAATACTAAAAAACATATGGAGATAGAGAGAGCAGCAAAGGGAGATTGTCCATGCCTTGTGTGATTGATCCCATGTGAGAGATTTCTGGTCAAGAGAGAGTGAGGATGCGGAAGGGCAAGGGGAGAGATCAAGAGAGAGATGATGGGGGACAACAAGGAGAGATTAAGAATAGGAAGACGTGTGAAAGGGAAGAGCTTTAAATTTCAAAATTCAATTTTTTTCAAGTTTGGTAGTAAAAGTCTAAAATGCCCTTCATATCCTTTGGTCTTCAAGTAATATAGGGGCAGTAAAAGTAAAAATACGGTTCACAAGAGTCTCTAACTTGAATCTATATAATTTGGGGGGTTGTTAACCCTAGAAAATCCTTATATATATATATATATATATATAGAAAATACTACGCAATGCCTATAAACGAAAATGATTAGTGATTTCGCCTACCCCCATCATCGTCCAAAGTTCATCGCGCAGTCACGATTGCCCTGTAGTGTTTCATTTTTTATTTTTTTTCTACGAATCTAAATGATCTGAAATTTGGAATATACATTCATCAAACATATGGGAATCTTCGAAAGTTTATATGAAACAAATTGATCAAAATACCCCCAAAACGTTTTGGGGGTAGTTTGGTCAATTTATTTTTTGCAGATAATTTTTTTTATATTTTTATTAGATGTGCCTCAGTAAGATGTACATATTCACCAAATTTCAAGTCATTCCGATTTGTAGAAACAAATTGAAAAATAAAACACTACCGGATAATTGTGACCATGCGATGAAATTTAGACAGTGATGAGGGTATGCAAAATCACTATTCATTTTCGCTTCAAATTAATGAATGGTGGATTTACTAATTTTGTGGTTTATTTTTTCAAAAAAAATTAATTTTATAATATATTAATCATCAAGTAAGAGTACTTTTGTAAATATCATTACAAGACAAAGGGTATTTTTATCATCTCCATAAGGGGTAAAGTTGAAATTTTTACTAATGAACAATGGTACTTTACTAATAAAGTTTCAGGACACTAACTTCCAAAATGACATTGTACTTTTACAAAAATGTCAAATTTACCTTATTTAATGGTTAAGATACCTATTAAAATAATTTTTTAAATAAAAAATAATTATCTTTTTGATAAATACACCCATCACAACCCCTTCTAAAATTAACCTTTGTATTGAGGGGTTGTTATTTAGACAAATCAATATATATATATATATATATATATATATAAAATAACCTAATATTGAGAGACAATTTAAATTCTAAATGGTTGAGCATAAAACCTTGTTCGCATAAATAGGTTTATAAATATACATATAAGTTGATTAGAGCTGAGATAAAACAATAATTTGTAGCTTTTCCTGTTTGGATCGAACATAATAATTTATCCTGGAATATATTCATTATGCCTTTAGAGCCAAGCAAATTACATGGCTAAAAAACCATGAGAAGGGAATGAGTCGAGGAAGCCCAAACCCAAATCCCCACCTCTTTGTATGTCTTGAATGCCCTTAACTCAAACCCTCTCCCCGCCCGCCCCCCCCCCCCTTCCTCCCGGGGTTTATAAATATAACATATAAGTTGATTAGAGCTGGGGGATTTATAAATATACATATAAGTTGATTAGAGCTGGGGGGATTTATAAATATACATATAAGGGAATGAGTCGAGGAAGCCCATACCCAAATTCCCACCTCTTTGCATGTCTTGAATGCCCATTAAGTCAAACCCCCCCCCCCCCATTATTTGAAGTAGAATATGCAGAAAATTAGTGCCGCTAGATATTTTTGAAGAATTGAAGGGATACTATGAAAATGATCCCAAGTTTAGGGGCTAGTACGATATTTTCTCTTTACATTATTTCTTATTTTAACTTTTTTTTTTTTTGGTATCATTGATTCGAACTCATTAGGATCAGCAATCGATGATTTGGCATGGACACGTGGGTTGAACGATCTACCCCAGCAATCCGGGTTTGAAATACTATTCTTAACGGAAATTTTAGGGTGCGGTTTATATAGATCCTAGGCTCTAAACAAATTAAATCAGAGCCTACCTTCAAATCGTGTCAAGAAATGTGGTTTCGAAATTGGAAATATTTGTGATAGTCTTAAAATATATTATCATATTTATTTATAAAGTTTAAAACTTCAAAAATAGTGTAGATCGACAGATCTATGAACACTTGAAAATCTTAAAAATTGATGGTCTAAAAATGTGTTACAAAATACACTATTTTTAAAACTTAAAATCCATTTTTTTCTCATGTGCATGCAGGTTGATGTCGAGATGATCGATTTGAGGATATTTGGGAATCAAAACAACATCTTCTAGTCAAAGTTTTGTTATAGGCTCCAATTTGTTTGTTTAGAGCCTAGGTTCTATATAAATTTATCCTTTTCAATTTAGGAAATATATACATTGAGACCTTTTACTTTTGATATACAAAGAGGTTACAGTCATTGTTGACCATTAGATTTGAAATCGAGTGAGGATGTGTCATTATTTAGACACAAAGTCTAAAATAAAATTTCTCGAATGTTGTAATCTATTTTCATTTATTGGATTTCACATTCAATGGCTAATATAATTGTAACCACTTTGTACAAAAAATAAATGATTACGTAATATGCAATCCCTAAAAAAATCTCCAATAACTATTTTGTCCAAACGAAACATGCTAGAGGCATTCCAATTGTAATAACCCATCTAATATTCTTTAGAAGATTTTGAGACCCTTATGTATATGACTTTAGTTCTTATTAGAGGGAAAAATTACCGATTTACCCTTCTCTTAAAAGTTCCCTGCATCTCCTATTTACCTGTTGCCATAGTAAAAACAAAAAATTTGATGGGTTGCTTGTCATTCTAAAATTTTCATTTTATGAGTTTGTCTTGTTAATATGAGTTTGTTGCTTGATTTTGAAGTTTTTCCTTTTAATAATTTTATTTTGTAGTTTTTATTTTATTTTGATGCTTTAATTTTGTAATTTTTATTTTTCAATATTATTAGAATTTATCGATTGACATAATTATGTTTATTTCTTATAAGGTGAAAGATTTTATTTGGTTGATATCTTTTCATTTTCTCAAATGATGGCTTTATTTTAAGTTTTTTTTACGCTTTATGTATGGAGATAATTAGGGGGGTTATTATTATTAGTATTTTTCTTATTATTGAATAGTGAAAGACGCATATCGTTTCACACAAAGATTAGAGAAGCAAGGGGGAAAATACGTGAGAGAGAGAAACAGAGAAAATTAGCTCAATTTCTTTTTTTTTATAGGAAAAAGGCCACTTTATCGGTTAGCGTTTGACAATTTGTAGCCTTAATTCTTAAGCTCGATTCCTACCACCAAAGTTAGAGCCCTCTCTCCAAAAAAAAAAACAAATGGCAAAAAAAATTTCTCTGAAAAAAAAAAAAAAAATTTTGGCCTTTTCCAATAAAAAAAGAGGGTAAATAGGTAATTTGTACATCTAAGAAGTCCCACAAAAAAATTGGGAGTGCCAAATTAAAAAGGGTGCAGTTTGTATGGAGCCTAGACTCTAAACAAACAAATTAGAGCTTACCTTTAAATAGTTGTTGAGAAATGTTGTTTTAATACTATATTTTTTGATGTTGAGATGATCAATTTGAAGATATGGGTATCGAAACAATCACTACTAGTAAATTTTTTAGATAGGTTCAAATTTGATTGTTTAGATCCTCAATTCTATACAAACTTTTTCCAATTAAAAAAATATAGATTCAAGAAGCCTAATACCCTAGGGTGGTTTGGGAATCTTGGATACACAAAATCAAGATTTGTACATCCAGATCTCGCAAGATAAGTAGCGTTTGGCTCATTGCAAGCACGATTGGTCACATTGAAGCTACGAAGCCCATTGCTCGTACTTTGGTCAACACTTCGAGCTCTGTTGTCGCTAGTTTTTCTTTAGAGTCGGCAACCTACCTTCCGCCATTAAAATCAGAACTTGAGATATGTTTTCTGGGCATTGTGAAAATCGCTTTCCCCTTGACTTTGTAAAAGTACTCAACTTTTTGAGTTACTTTATTTGTAGATCTACTTATGTTGCTCAGGTTTTGTGGGTTCTTCAATCCCTGAAATTTTAGGAGATTTGAAGCCATTTTTACTGCTTCAATGGATTTTTTTTTGGCAATATTTGTGATTGTGAATATTTTTTGGAACGTTTAGGTGATTTTTGGGCTTTTGGGGATTTCCTATTCTTGGGGATTTCCTGACAAGGGTAAATTTGTTTTTGGGATTTCCTGATATTACAGCTCCCTTTAACTTTGTGACACACTTTATGAGTTACTTTGTTTGTAGATCTATTAATGTTGTCCAGGTTTTGTGGGTTCTTCAATCCCTGAGATTTCTGGAGATTTGGAGCCGTTTTTACTGCTTCAATGGATATTTTTGCCACTGTTTGTGGCTTGCGACTATTTTTTGGAGAGTTTATGATTTGTGGCTTTTGAGGATTTCCTGTTATAGGCGAAATATTTTTGAGGATTTCCTGTAATTACAGCTCCCTCTACCTCCATGACACATGCAGGTTTTAAAGAACTTGGATGGCATACTGGTCTGATGTGCAACTTCTTTTTGCACATCGACAATATTCTTATTTCAGTTTACGAACATCTAAGCTGATTTTGGGTTCATCGGGCACGTGCTTCTTTTAGTCTAATTTATATGTTGTTTTGTGCCTGATTTGAGTTCACGGTTTGCAGGTTATTGTGCTAACAAAATAACTCTCGGTCATCAGAAACAAAGGCCATTGGCTATGGAAAATTAAAGCAAAGGCATTTGGTTATGTGATCATTTGGACACAATGACTTCATTTTTATTTCAATTTGGTTTTTATTGAGGAGGACAAATTAATCTCAATATTGTACTTTCCTTATAGACTTCATATTGTTTCGGCATTACAGTTGCATTTCAATTAATGGCTAAATTGTGAAAGAAATCCTTGATCAATTTGTTTTGCTTTATCCATTGATCCATTCCACTTGACAATGGCAATGTCAAGCACTCTCAGTGGGCAATTTTATTTTTTGAAACAATGCTAGTAAGCACTTCAAATATATGAATGTATGCATTCAGGCCATCACTTGGTTAGCTTCAATTGCATGAATTGACTCACGTGGCTATTCTCTCTCTCTCTCATTGAGAAGGAAAATAATGAGAGAACAATGACTCTGGTAGTAGGTATATTGTGACTCAAGCATCTGTTAATTCAAATATATAAAATGCAAGCAACAATACCATCATGAGAAAACCAAAATGCAAACTACATCTTCTTATCAAATCTCACACTTTGCAAGCAAATATATTGTGTGTGTGATAGAGCGAGTAGAGAGAGAGAGTCTTATCAAATCTCACACTTTGCAAGCAGGTATATTCTCAAGAAACAAGTCTAGGGAGAAAGAGCCTTGTTTTTTCCATTCAATAGCACATTTCCAAGAAACAAGGTGCAAAACTTTATCTTTCCCTTAAAAGTAAGGATAATGCAAGCAGCTACATCATCATTTCTCTTTAGAGAACATAACAGAAAAGAAGAAAAACGAAAACAAAGAACTGTACATCTTTTACATAAAACTAACTCGTAAACTCTGTATAACCTAGGTTCTCTCTATTTAAAACCCCATCTTTCTCTCCCTAAAAAGCCACTTCTAGAAAGAATTCGTCTCACAATTGGAAGTCTTCCTCTAAACCAAAAGTCTAGCTACCTCCCATAAGCTCCATCAAATGCCATGGACAAAATTGATCAGCATCATCTTTCCCCATATGTCCATCAAAAGCCATGTGCACAGGAGGGACCTGTGCAAAACTCATTATTCCTACGAGGACTTTGCAATTTTAACAATATCCGATCACATGTGACAGATTATATAGAGAGATAATTACTTTAAATAAAATATTAACTTCACATGGTTTTCAACAAAATATCAAAGATAAGTGGAGCAAATAACTAGAAAAACATACAATCATTATTAAATAAAAAAATAATTGTTGAAATTGGCACCCAAATTTGATGATTCTTTACCATGGAGAAAGAGGGAGGGCCAAATATGTCCATTGACGATACAATGCTTGTCTTAGACAAAATGATTAAGTCATTCATTGCTTTCCACTCTGGTTAAGTATTTGTAGTAAGGACTTGAAGAATTAGTAGGGCCGATCCAAAGGGTTGATCAAAATGGCCAGGCTGCCGTAAACAAAAAACTTGTGGGATATTGCACCAATTAAGAATGAATCTCAATTTTCACACATACAAGTATTCATCTCAAAGACGTTGGAACTTTGGATTTTATCCAAATGTGCTCCTAGAGGGAGGACACGTTTGAGAACATCCACGTAGCTTTCATGGTGTTAAATAATTTCTTGGCCTTAGAGACCCTACCAGCACGACAAAGCCCTCTAATGAAGGAACCATAAACACAAGTTTCAGGCACATTTTTCTTACTCATCAGTGCTACCAGCCTCTTCTAACAGACCGACATTGCAGAGGGACTTGCCATAGGCCTCATAAGCCATAATCTCAAGGATGGCACTGCTAACATTTAATTAGAAAATGGTTCTTCGACCAGGGCTCACGTTAGGCCTCACGTGGGATATTGCACCAATTACCACCTTCTTTAAGCTTTCCTGATTTGCATAGCCCATGAATGAAGCTCCCATTTACACATATATCAAGAATGTAATATTTCATAATCATACTTCTAAGAATTATATTGGCCTCATACACGAGACCCATTCTACAAAAACACTAGAACAACAATAGATATGTGATATAATCTGGTTGGAAGCCATTTTGCCTCGAAGGACCACTCCAGCTAAAAAGGCCTCATTTTTCTGACAAAGACCTCCAAGTAAAGCCAAATAACTTTGATATTCCAAAATTGCATTCTCCATTAAAACTCGCTTATGGACATTTTCGGCCTCCATGGCTTCTCCCAATTTACAGAGATAGTTGATAAATGTTGAAACCAGTGATTCAAAAGTCGGCGAGTCGAACCGGACTCTTCCGATTCGACTCGAGAACCGGCAAACCTGATCCGGTTCCAGTAAAATATCGAAAATCACCCGGTTCTAAAGAAGAACCGGTGATTCCATGGCGATTTCCGATTCTTTGATTCATGACGTCATGGCCAACCGATTCTTCAATGGGCATTTTTGTAAAAAAATTTCAATGGGTATTTTTGTAAATTTTAAAAAGTACATGTACTTTAAGGTCCACACCCCTCGTCACGTGACTCACTTCACTTCGCACGCGTTATCATCGTTAATTACAAAGAAGTGTTTATTCACAACAACTTCCTTCTACCTCTTCGATGTGGGATAATATTAAGGTATTAACTTGAAACATTAATATATTATATATTTTATTTGCGCTTTTAATTCTACTAAGTAGAATGTGGCTTACTTTTTGCATGTGGAGGGCGTGGGTTCCATTCTCTTTGGGACGAAAGGGGGTTCTTCTATCAACTATTTTTCTTGTCAATTTTATATTTTTGAGGTCAAATTTTTTTCTTATAAATATTCTTCTGGTCAATTTTATTTTTTTGAGGTCAAATTTTTTTCTTATAAAAAAAATGAAAGGTTTTCTTATCAATTTCGCTTTTTGTCAAATTTTTTTATTATCAAAAAAATGAAAGGCTTTTTTATCAATTTCGAATTTTGTCAAATTTTTTTCTTATCAATAAAATAAAAATGTTCTTATAAAAAAAAAATGAAAGGTTCTTATCAATTATTTTTCTTGTCAAATTTCTTTTTTTGTCAAAAAAATAAAAAAAAATGTCAAAAAAAAAAAAGTAATAAAAAGTTTGTCAAAAAAAAAAAAGTTCTTATAAAAAAAATAATAATACAACAAGTATTTTTGTCATAAGGAAAAAATGAAAGGTTTTTTATCAATTTCGCTTTTTGTCATATTTTTTTCTTATCAAAAAAATGAAAGGTTTTTTTATCAATTTTGCTTTTTGTCAAATTTTTTTCTTATCAATAAAAAAAAAAGTTTCTTATAAAAAAAAATGAAAGGTTCTTATAAATTATTTTTCTTGTCAAATTTCTTTTTTTTGTCAAAAAATAAAAAGTAATAAAAAGTTTTTGTCTAAAAAAAAAAGTTCTTATAAAAAAAAATTTAATACAACAAGTATTTTTTGTCAAAAAAAAGGTTCTTGCTAAAAACAAAAAAAAATACGACAAATATTTCTTGTAAAAAAATAAAAGGTTTTTGTCAAAAAAACTAAAATGCTCTTATAAAAAAATCATTCTTTATTGTAGTACATTCTTTATTGTAGTACATGTATGATTATATACTTCAGTCATGATAATTCTATGATTTTTATTTTGTATGATGTAATTTAATGGTTAAAATAAGTTCATACAGAGAAAAAATATTTCAATATTCACATATTGATGAAAAAAATGAAAGTTAATAATATAGTACCACGATTTCTTATTGGATTCCTAAAAAACAACATTTATAATTAATTTTAATAATTTTTTTATATTTTTTTACAGCTTAATCCGACCGATTCCCGATACGGATCGTCGATCCACCTATCCGGATGGATTTTTGGGGTGCCCGATCCGGGCCACCGATCCATTTTTTAAACCATTGGTTGAAACATTTATATTTCCAAAGACCCATTTCCTATAATCTCCTCAAAAGTACATTCAATGTCTTTAATTCTACCATCCCTTACAATACAGTGAATTACAATACTGTACAAGAACAAAACCCAAAAATGTTTGGGTTTTTTTTCAATTGGCTCAAGACTTTCTTTGTGCTCACTAATTGATTAATCTGACAAAGTAGATGGACTACTAGAACTAAAGTTTCATAATCAAATAAATGGGTGTTTTTTAGCAATGAATCTAACGATCTCAAATCCTATAAATTTTTGTTTTCTTTTTTGAGAACTATGAATAGGAAGTTGAAGAGCTTTATGTATGTTAAAGTTTAAGTAACTTGTTGGGTAAAAGAGAAGTTTCTTGAACAAATGAGTTCATGGGTTGCATCCACAATGGCCAGGGACTCTGTGAGGTTTTTAGTTGCAGGAAGGAGGAGGGAAGAGAGAGACGAGGTAGAGAAAGATACAGAGCTCTGTGGGGTATTTAGATCGGTAGGTTAGGGATGCAACAGGACAATAGGGGCTTCAAATCTGTGGGTTTTTGAGAGAGAGAGAGGATGGAGAGAGGGAATTTCTGCAACACTGTTTAGTAGAGAAAGAAAGAAAATTTTGCGAGAGAGAGATGGTGATGAGAGAGAGAGGGTGGTTTGAAATAGTCACGTTAACAGAGAAGAATGATAGGTTGTCATTTTTTCAATTCTTTAGGTCAAAGATTTGTGGTCAAAGGGATCCACGGGGTTGTAAGATAGAAAAGATGGACACATTTTGCCGAAATTAATACTTTCAATTCTTGAGTATCATGAGATATAGAAGTTAAAAATAGGGAGTAAAGGGATATTTTTTTAAAAAAAAAACATATCAAGTCTGGAAAATAGTACATCTTGAAATGCATTATCTAGGCAATCAATTTTTGATATTTTCAAGTGTTTATAGATGTGCTTGATCAACACTATTTATGAAGCTTTAAATTTTATAATTAGAGATGAAAATAAATTTTCAAACCATCATAAAGATTTTTACTACTGAAAATCAATTTCGGTACTATTTTGAGATACACCTTATATTGATTGTTTAGGGCATCAACCTTATACAAACCACACCCCAAAGAGGTGAAAAAAGTTTACATAAAGTTGCAACCTTAATAGTAGAAAAAAGGCCCATCTAAAAAGTCGATCAGTTCTTTTGAAGGTGAAAACCCTGTAATTGATCATCTCGACCTTGATATATACACTTGTGAAGAAAACAAGATTCTAAAGTATAAAAAATGGTATATCTTGTGGTACATTATCTACACCGTCCATTCTCGAGATTTTCATGTGTTTATAGATCTACTTGATTTGTATTATTTCTTGAGTTTTAAATTTCATAATTAGCTGTGAAGTAGTTTTTTAGGTCATCATGAAAAAAATTTACATCTTTTGATGAGCTTTGGAGGTGCACATTTATTGAATTTACATCTTTTGATGAGCTTTGGAGGTGCACATTAATTGAATTGTTTAAGGTGGACGCCTTATACAAGCCACACCCTATAAAGAGAGAAACATTTACAGTTGTACCTATTTGACAACCCTATGTTTTGCGTCCGATGATTTACTTCTTGACTCATCAAACAGAGTATTAACAAGATGAGGAATAGGACAACTTACAAAAGATTAGCCCTCTATATCCGATTGCGATAGGTAAATTTCCAGACACGGCTTGCACATAGTGAGCAATACATGTAATAAATGTTTTTAAGACTCAGATAGGGAGATATGATCAATTAACTGTTGGACCATATGGGAATCGATCAAAAAAAAAAAATTTAAAAAATAATAATAATAATAATAATAATGATAATGATAATAAATATTTTAAATTTTAAAAAAATAGTATTAAAATTTAGAAAATAAGAATGGGTGGGAATTTGGTGATTCATCTGTTCTAGATCACTTCCCTAACACATTCGCTCAACTTTTCGACAAAACCAGGTGGCTCTAATCAAAATCATATCGATTCCCACTTCTGACTTCAAACCGGGTGTGTCCCCATTGTTTTCCAATCTGGATTAGTGATTCTAGGGGAAAGGTTTCTATACTTCCCCTGCATCATAGAAAATATATGCTTCCCCTACCATCCAGTCGTCCAATTTTGATCAAGAGAGTTACTCACCGTTTGATCTTAGATTCGACGTCTCAAAGTATTTTATTTTTAACTTTTTTTTATACAAATTGTATGAATATGAAATTTGGTATGTGCCATGTTCTTATCGGGATGCACCTATAAAAAATATTCAAAATAAATTTTCGATAAAATAAAATGATCAAAATACCCCTTGAAACTTTCAAATGTATTTTGGTTATTTTATTTTATTGAAAATATTTTTTTATATATTTTTCGCTAAAGCGAGTATAATAGAGGATTGGACAACTAAAATTTGGTGTCAAAATAGTTTATAGAAAAAAAAATTAAAAATAAAATAGTGTAGATACGTAACATTGTGATTGGGCCAATCTTAGCCCTCCATTCAATATGGACTGTTGGATAAGGGGAAGTATATAAGTTTTATGCTGTAGGGGAAACATAGAAAGCTTGCATGTGATTTTAGATCTAAATCAACATTTTTTAAATAAATACATGTAATGAGTCACTATCAATCAAGTTGCGATAAAAGAATAAAGAAAGGAAAAAGGAGTGAATACCAAAAAATCCTGGTTAAAAAAAATATATTTTGTTTAACTAAGAAATCCATAAGAAATCAAATATCGAAATAAACCACTATCACTTTGACAATAGTAACAAAGAAGAATAAACTTGAGATAAATTTTAAAAGCATATTTAAATTGTTATGAAACTAATAAAATGTGATGATATTTCACTTTTAAATATTCGATTTTTCTTGAAGTTATTATGAAAATCATGCATTTGAAAATGTTTTTGAGCTTGTAATGTTTGCTGGTCTTCCCTATGAAAGGGTTACACATTGATGAGCTTGTAATTTTTACACATTTTTCCAAATAAAATGGCCAGGGGACTCTAAACCCCACTAATTCACCCAAAAAAAAGACGTTTTTGAGAATTAGATTATTTACGAGAAAAAATAACTTGAAGGAAAAAATGTGTATAAGGATGCAACCTTAATTGTAGAAATAAGGTTGCATTAATCTACGCCATCTATTTTGTTTGAACGATGTAGATTTGATGTTGTCTCAAAAGACGTGTCACTTTTTGGCACTACTTAAAAATATGTATTAAATCTACACCGTCCAACTAAAATGAATGGTACACACTCCCTCGAAATTATGGTTAAAAGAACTCTTAAAAACCTCGATTCTGAACAAAAAACCACCATACAAATCTTAATAAACCTTAGGTAACCTAGACCCAATATAATTACTTCAAAATTGCCCAGATCCTATCCCAACTAGAAATAGAGCCCGATATCTTTCCAACTGTCCAAAGATGAACTTACGGATAAAATAATATAACAAATGACAATTTAGTCCTTGTGAGACCCAAGTATCGAGCCACGAGCGGAGCTGTAATGTGGCCCGGAAGGCTCATACGAGGCTTGATGACACAGACGCAATCTGATGACGTAGTCAACGCATTTTATGATGCAGTACATGCGTTTTTTTTTAATTAGATAAAGCTAAAACTTTAAGATAAATCCAAAAAATTCCGAAAAAATTTCAAAAAAATCGAAAAAAATCATCAATTGAATCTTATAAATACCCCTTCCCCGTAACCCAAAAAGATGACGAAAATGAGACCAAAAAAAAGAAAGAAATCCCTTAGAAATTCTCGAAATTAGAAAAATTGTCCAAAAATACCCAAAAGTAGAAAAAACCTTTAGAAAATTCCTAAAAAATAAAAAAAAATCCCAAAAAATCAGAGAAAATCTCAGAATTCAGATATCCCTAAATCCTTAGAAAACTACGATAAATTCTTCTCCAATCCTAAAAAAAGCTTAGGTAGACCCTACCTAAAATTCTCAGTTTTTATCTCGGCCTTAGAAACCTTAGATCTAGGTTAAAATAACCTTAAATCTACCAATTCCAGCAAGCAAATGCATAAAAAAAATTAGATGGTTGCACAAATCGGAAGAGTAGCCCAATCCAAGCCCGAAACTCCGGGTTTCGGGTCCCTAGAGGTAAGTATCACTTTAGTTTGTATTTCTTCATTTAATTTTCTGCTTTATTTTATTTTTCTGAAAATTAATTCATCATTATATTTAATTAAATTTAGAAGTGGTTTTTTAGTCAAAATACGGATTTGGAACTAACGCTGTCAGTGGACTCAAAAAAAGACCAGATCTGTATAGATTTGGGATTTTTCAGAGCTGGAAATTCAAGCGACCCCACTCTTTCCAGTTTTTCAAAAGTAACTAAATTTTTGTTAAGATTTGAGCGGATCTCATCTTGGAGATCAAAGCATAAATAGTTTAGCGCCCACAGTGGGATCTCATCTTGGAGATCAGAGCATAAATAGTTTAGCGCCCACAGTGGGGCACCTTGAGCTTCAAATCCGCAAAACCAACATTGCATCACAAATACCACAACCATCACCATAACACACTCAACAATTTACAATGGATGGGGTTTTTATGAGTCGGCCGACTCAAATGTACATATGCGGCCCCTCTCTAAAATCCATTTTAAAGATGGATTTTTATCAAAATTTTTCATAGATTCATCATCTAGGGCCAAGATGATCATGACTATGAAAAGAATACTAACTTTTAAAATTAAAAACATAACTCTTTGTTTTTTCTTGGACACTGTCCGTATGATATTTATGGGGAAAAAGTTTATACAAGTGTGAGAGTCTAAACAATGAAATTAGCACCAAAAGAAGTTATCAATTTTCAAGATTTTCAAATTTTCATAGATTTGCTTAATCTATATTATTTTTTAAGCTTTAAATTTTATAATTAAAAATGAAAATATATTTTAAAGTTATCACAAAGAATTTCAATATTGAAATCACACTTCTTGATACTATTTGAAGGTGCCACTTTATTTTGATGGTTTAGAGCATCGGGCTTATATATACGGCACCCTATTTATGGACTACATAGGATGTACTTTTGTAACCAGCTGGCGCAGAACACTTTATCATTTATAATTCAAATTGTAATTAGTAAAGGCCTATGGAGAGAAAACAGTGATTGACAAAATTGGGTCAAACAGAGGAAAGCACCATTTTGAGAAAAGTTTACGATCAAAAAGTTTGGTCCCTGGGCCTTAATCATTTTTCTCTTTTGTTTTCTTCAGACTTTACCACAAATTTGACGATATGAGTACAAAGTTATGGTGAAAAATAAGTACTGATTCCCAAAGGAGTACAAAATTATGGTGAAAAATAAATATTGATTCACAAAATCAGAGGAAAAAAAACACAAGAAAGATATAAGCTAGATTTTCTCTCTCTATGTACATTGAGATAGACTAACGAGTCTAACCTCTCCCAGACTCTCTCACTCGTATTTTTTTTTTTTGCTGTTTAGACTGGAGAGAGACTAGACGAGTCTAAACAAACGTTTTTTTTTTTATTGTTTAGACTGGAGAGAGACTACACGAATCTAAACAATCGCTTGTAAGAAGCGGAAGAAACCAAGAAGCCAACCCCCAAGCACATGGCCGCCCCCACAACGAACGCAATATCTACCCACTTCCCCACCCGCTCACTCTCCCCATAAATCTCCGCACGTGCCAATTCGACCCACTCCCCAATCAAACCGGATGCACGTGTGGACTCGCCGCAGTCCTCCTTACCGGTAATGTTCCCATACTCCCCAGTGCGCACCGAATCCCAAAACGAGTTCGAATCCACATGGGCCAAACCCAGATAGTTGTTGGCATGTGCGAATCCAACCTCCGAGTCCTCAGGTATATCGTCGAGCCACACGGCATGCCGCCTCCTCATGCCCTTTTTCCTCCTCGAACCCACCTCTTGGCTATACAACCCAAGCCCACTCAAATCCGGTTCTTGGTTCGGTGCATCACAAGCACAGGACTCCATTTCTTCTAAGCTCAAAGCATCGCACCCACACGAACCCAATGAACCTAGCGAGCCGACCTTCAGGCTCATGAGACTGAGCGCATTTGGGCCCAACATCCACACTTCCATGCTCGATAGCCCGAGCCCACCTGATTCAAAGGTTTCGCACTCGACCCACCACCTCATCCCAGCTCTCAGGACCCACGCGCGTGCGAGTCTCGCTCCTCCCACACGCACCTCGAAACACATGCCACTTCCTATACGCATTTCATCCCTACTTGTGAAAACAGCTTCATCGAGCGATTTCCCGGGGGATTTCACACGTGCAAGGGATACGGAGGCATAGTCTTTTGGCCGGATCGGCGATTTATTGACCTCAAGCCTGGTGTCTGGATTTCTCGGCGGGTAGAGTAGTGTTAGGGTGTCGGGGATGGGGAGATGGACGGCGGGGATGCTGAGGCGGATCTTGAATGTTTTGATCGCCAAAATATCGGCGATTTCAGGATCTCGAAGCCGCGTTTCAAAGGAGCGACACATATTTTGGTTCTATTTTTTGTGGTAGCGGGTCTCTTAATAAGTTGGATAGAGGACTCAGATAGACGGTGGAGATCTTGGGTTGTGGTGGTGATGAGCAGCCCGCAGGAAAGGAGGAGGAAAAACCATGGGCATGGGAGGGTGGTGGCATTGACGGGAGGGCACGCAGTTTCCCAGCTGATGACTACTGACACGTGGGGATTTATTATAGGGAGCAAACTGCTTTTGAATTATTGAGGTTTTAACCAGCTATAATATCAATACTATACACAACATTGCAAATAATTCGAATTCAGTGCAGAACTAGGACATAATCAAACTCAAAGAACGAATTGTTGAATTGAATCGTACCAATGGGGTTATTACTCATTTTTGTACTTTGTTTTTTCATTTTCCAATTATTTATTCAATCATGTATCCTTCAACTCATTTATTCCTGTTTTTTTTTTCTTTATTTATAAACACGGCACCCTTAGGGGTGGCAAATGGTAGGGTTGGTACGGGTTGACCTCTCTCGGACCCGACTCGACAAAGTTTCACACCTGGGTCAGGTCCAAGTTATTTGGACCTGAGCTTGAGTAAGAAATTAAAAAAATAATATATATATATATATACCATGTCAAATAGGGATGGGTCAACCCCGACCTGATAGAGTCCAAGCTGGACACACACCAGACATGTCCCGGGTGAAAGAGAGTCTAATGTGATCTTGCCAGGAAATTTTTTTTTTTTTTTTTTCTTTTCATCACTTTTTTTTATTATTTTCTTTTGGCAAATATCACTTACGAGTAGTCTTATTACAATAACTCTTGCTTCAAAGAAAATAAAACTAACAAATCCAAGATCTTAAAAACCTGAATGCAACTAAACCAATTTTCTTTAAACAAAGAAAACATCCACAAGTTTTATACTTGGGAATATAAAAACAATATAATTAAATATGGCAAGAAACAAAAAGAGAGTGCCGAAGATTACTTCAACAAAAAAAATATCCACAAGTTTTATGTTTGGGAATATAAAGACAATATAATTAAATATAGCAAGAAACAAATAGAGAGTGCCAAAAGTTACCTCGACTGGAGGTATTACACCCTACACCGAGTCACCACCATCTGATAGCGAGGGATCAACGAGTAACCTTCAATCTCAACCAGGAAAGCAAGTTTAGGTCAAACCCTCTAATGGAACAATAAACTCCTTTATTACAATCTCAAACCCTTAGATAAATCTCCTTAGCAACTTAGTTTGAGAGATATGCTTCTCTTTTCTACCACAACCCTATAGTCTAAAACCCCAATGAGAGATCATGAGAGAATTGAGAGAACCCCATTAGAGAGATATCAAAGATGAGATAGTGAGCGTGCCCGTTTGGGTCTCTTGAGAGAGAAACTTTCTTACGAGAGAGTGATATTCTAAGTGGGGTATGCCCCTTTTGTGGGATGTGAGATATAGAGATGGGAATTAGGTGTAGAGATTTGGGTAGGAATCAATCCCCTTTGTATAGTGCTTAAGGTTTTTCAGGGTTTTCTTTGGCTTGTCTTTTCTTGTGAGATTGAATATGAACCATTGATCTTAAGTGACTTGTGGGGGTGAGAGATTTGAGTCATCAATTCCATAGATGGCCATCAACATTATAGAAGGTGTACAACCTTTCTCCCTTCTTTTCTTTGATCATTATCCCAATATAAATCAAATAAAATAATACTAATTATATACTTTATCCAAAAATATGCACAAATCACCTTTTTAAATCTCATAATAACTTGTCCAAGCGAAAGTTATTACTCTTATTAACTTCAACCCCTATAAATTAGGAAAGACTCCTAAAAGCGGGGCGCACTATATGGAGAGTAAAAATATACTGCCGGTCATTGGCAAAGAGCACCCATCGAAGCTGTTATGGAAACGCTTGCAACGGCTAGTCATCAGTAATTTACAAGATTGAACATCTTTTTGGCAGGCTCAGGGTATTCAAGAAACACTATCTACACTCTGCCTGACTTGGCTATCAGCTAAAACCAAAAACCAAACAAATTATGAAAAGACGCCACCGATGGAGTTAAGATAACAATTTTGATGCAGTGGGTTTGTTTAATTTTATTATTTTTAGATTTAGGTTGGGTTTTTAGTTTTTATGAAGGTATTCTTTGTCTTTTTTAGTTGTAGAGATTTAGGTGGTAAAATTGGAAGCTTAGTTTTTTTTAAAAAAAAACATGATGGATATGGATGGGGATGAGCTTGATTGGGTTGATCAGAATATGTTAGACTTGTTTTTAAGAAATATGGGAGAGATATAGTTTAGTTTGCTATTTTTATTTTATTTTATTCATTATTCCTTATAAGTTCGTATTTAAGGAGAATGAACCTATTTAAGAGGAAGAGGTTCCTTCTTTGTAGAGAGAGTGACAAAGAATAAAAATGAATTTCACCTCCTGAAAAGTTCTTGGGTCGGACTCCTTTGCAGACATAAAGAAGGTATAATATCTCAAACCTTTATTTTCATTTTTATTTTTCTAGTTTATTATTTTCCCTGCATCAGTTGGTATTAGAGCCTTGAGATCCTTACAGATCACACACAACTTTTGATCTAGATATGAAGCACGTAGAATATAACAAAGTCTACAAAATCTATTTAATAGATTGCAGCAAGAGGAAGAAGGATATGAAGATATAGATCTCGATGCAAAAGACCATATTGATAGTCTGAACATGCAAGAAATTTCGAAAATCAACTGTGGAAAAAAAGATACATGTGTTGCGACTTGTGAAATACTACCATGTGAGCCCGAAGGAGAAATGAACATTCAGTCTGGTATTCCAGAGTTCGGTGTCTCAGACTTCCACGAAAAATTGTGTTGGATAAATTCTTTATTTGAAGAAGAAAAAGTACTTGCAAGAATGTTGGGACTGCAACACCAGCTTTTGAGAAAGCTTCTAAAATATTTGAGTTCAAAAAGCTCAAGGTCGAGCTTCTTCCATCCCTGGAAGAATGATGCAGTGGGTATTTTAATTTGAATATTTTTAGATTTTTAAATTTAGGTTAGCTTTTAGTTTTCTTTAGGGTTATTCTTGTCCTTATTAGCTTATAGAGAGTTAAGAGGTAATACTGAAAGCTTAATTTTTTTAAAAAAAAAATATAGATATGGATAGGAATTACCATGGTTGAGTTTATGTTAGACTTGTTTTTAAGAGATAAGGGCGAGATAGAGTTTAATTTGTTATTTTTATTTCATTTTATTTATTATTCCTTATATTGAAAGGGAAGAGGTCCCTTCTTTGTAAAGAGAGTGATTGGAGAATAAAAAAACAGTTTGGTTTTGTGAAAAGATCTTGGGGTAGGCTCCCTGTCAGACTCAGAGAGGGTATAATCTCTCACACCTTTACGTTTTTGTTTCAAGTATATTATTTTCCCTACATCAACTATGGTCATGAAATTGGTGAAAGAAACATCTGAACATTATAAGTTCTAATATTCAAGTGAAAATCTGAACAGGCTTGGTTGCAAATGAAATATCAATGGGCAAAAGCTCCACATGATGAATGACATCAAAAACGCATGAGAGACCTCCTAAACAAGGAACGTACAAGATGTAGATTCCAAAAGACAATGCCGCCTACGTAAGAGCTCTCATGAAACAACGGCTTCAAAAATAAAAGTTCAAAGAGCATTCTACAGTTAAAGACAGTGTGTGTACATGCGTGCATGTGTGTGTGTGAGAGAGAGAGAGAGAGAGAGAGCTTATCTTCTCTGGAGGAAAAGCTCATAACCAGATTAAACAGTTGGTTAAGTTTACCTCATCACTCCATAGAATGTGGACCTGTTGAATTTAGCTCAAGAAACAGCATCATCTTAACCACCTCCATCAGATTATCAGCATCAAGTTTCAGCCCACCATCTCTTTCTCCTTTTGAGCTATCAGAAAAATGGGGATAGGAATTTAGGGGGTGGAATCAGGACCAGGTTTCCTAGATTGTAAAGACAAGCATGAATCCTAGAATTCTTCAGTAAGAACTGATAATTACTAAGCAATAATGGTGACCCCTGACACATGTCCTCACAAGATCCACATTACTTTTTCCAGATAGCTTAAAGGAGAAGCAGAGGGTGGAATGTAAGTCCCAGCAGGCCCACCCATGAAAGATGCCTCTCATAGAATTCCCCAGACACAACCTGCCATGCAGTAAAATGGGTGCTCATTCAATCTCAAATTATTAGTACGACTAGCTTTAACTCTACCTCCCACTCCTTGCCCCCTTTCCAAAGTAGGAAAGTACATTATGACTCACTTACCCATGAAAAGCAGTATCTTAGCATGAATTTTGTCATAACTTATAATATTGTCAACGAATGCGTAAGATCTTACTCCCCAGGAGAACACTGTTTTCTGTAACAAAATGGTTGTGGATTTACCATGAGCCAATTTTAGGGCTGGCAATGGACCGGGAGGCCAGGCCCTGAAACTAGGGCCTGGGACAAAAAATGTGCCCCGATGGCAGGGCCACCGTGGCTCAAGGGGGCCACAATAGCGCCGGCCCTGGCTAGGCTTTCTTTATTCCTTTTTTTTTTCTTTTTCTATCAGGTCCAGCCTGGCCCAGACAGCGCCAGGCCGGGGCCTGACCCCGCTCATGCTGGCCCAATAGGGATCAGGGCTGGGCTGGGCTAGGGCCAGGGCTGACCCCACCCAAACCTGGTCCATTGCCAGCCCTAAAGCCACAAAACCATTAAAATGTTCCTTCTATAAATACAAAAGATAAAAAGAAAATTCCATGGAGATATAGAACAATTATTGGGAAATTTTAAAGCATAAAAATTATCAAGAAAACAAAAATATCAAAGAAACAAGACAGAGAGAAGTAACGGGCATGTGAACATGACTATCCATTATTTCATGGTAAACAAAGCACATGTAAAGTAAAAATGTTCTCTATAACACATATGAAATCATGATGTCTGACAGTTATGTGGTTGCGTCACATTCATATGAATAAAACCTTACTACTATCGATCCATTTAGATGCTTTATACACACCAGTTCGCTAGATCTGATATATAAGTCCTGGTGCTCTTGCACGACCATGCAACACATTGGCCAAAACACCATGTTAAGGGTTTTCTGACTGAAAGCTCTCAAATCTTCTTTACACATCTCTAATATCAACCTAAAAAATATAATTTGCAGCTCCCAAAACTTTCCTCTTCAATGTACTTCTTGATTCTGGACCATCCATTTGCTGATAAGTAGACTTCAGGTTTCAAGATTTCAAAATCTGTTCGTTCTTTAACCAAATTATGAGGTGAAACATGAAGATTTGAAAGTTTTTAGGTCACAAAATCTATTACCAAGGTGTTTTGCATGTGGAATGCAGTGGGACCACCATATACATCCTAACTTAAAGATTTGATGTTGATGTCGCTCAAATCTAACAAGGTCTATTTAGCAAAGGGCCCTTAAGGGCTGATTATTTCAACACTTCACCCTTATGGGTCATGGATATTAAGAGTACTCTTCCATATTTGTGTAAAAACTGGGAGAGGAGAAGGGCCACTTTAGAGTTTTACCCCCCCACCATAAAACCAGCATTTAACTCTTTGGTGTAGGAATTTGATTGATTTCAAATAATATATAAATCAAGATGTACAAAATGCGACAAATGTATACAATAAGAAAAACATAGTCAGATAGATGCAAAAAGACAAAAGCCAGTAATTGGGTGAAAATTCTAACAGTTATTGGCAAAGTGGACTTACAGTTTTAACATATGCATGTTAGCATGGCAGCAGGGGCTTCTCAGTAATTTATGCAGTTTTTGTTCTTTGACATTTTGGATGATGCAAGCCCAGGAAATTTAAGGATTCAGGATGGTGTAACACTTGCCTTCTGCAAGCTATTTCATTCTTTTTGCAAAGAAAGTCTTCATGGAAATACTTGGGGTCTTCAGAGTTCATATAGAGCCCAAGCATTTCAGGAGGGCATTTTACTTGTATATTTGTTGTCATGTTTGTTCTTTGCATGTGTGATTCATTAAACTATTTTTGGTGAGCATTTTACTTGTATATTTGTTGTCCTGTTTGTTCTTTGTATGTGTGATTCATTAAACTATTTTTGGTGATAAAGTCTTTCTTGAAACCATGAAGCTTGTTCTTTTGAGGAAGCTGCGGCCATAAAGCTTTTGACGGGAATTACGTAGATGCGGATGACATGGCATGTCAATATGGCTTCCTAAGAATAAAAGATAAATTGGATTGAACTAGCCTAGGTGTTCATATCAGGTCCTAGCTTTTGATTTACATAAATTTAAAAGATAATTATATGTTCATTATTTCTGGTGCAGCTGCCTCCGGTAAAAGATGAAAGCTTTGGTGATACATTTCTAGCTCTTGAGGCAAATGGAGGGGTATTGGTGACGTTCTACTTTTAAACATTCATGAGCACATGAATGTTTACATTCTACTCTTCTTCTTTTTTTCTCAAAAAAACATTCATGAGTACATGCACAGACACCACGTCATTGTGCTGACAATCATGGGTCACTTCTAAGCATGAACACGTATCTGAACATTGTGTACACATGTCAAAGATGGTACTAGGTTCCAGGGGATAATGCTAAACATATAATTATGTTGGACAGATGGTGCAGTAAGGACATATTGGAAACCTGTTTTCGAAGAGTGTGTGCTTGTTTGGAACAAGCACATTAATGTGGTAACAATTTTTCTATTTGAGTGAGTTTTATGAACCTGATTCCCCCTTTGCATAACCTATCCAATAGGAAAGGAGTTAACTACTGAAGCTCCTTAGAGCAGTTTCTGCAGACTATAGGGACCTGAGTCGTCTGGAAACATGAAGCTTTAATCCCAGCTCTGAGCATAGTTTCACAATATCTACAATAGAATGCTGGTTTGTATATAACCATCATTACCATTTCGTATTACATGGAAAAAGAAGGTCCCCTAAAGAACTACTATGTTTTCACTTTCTGATCTTAATGGAACTCTTACAAACAATCACCTAAAGGTTAGAGAGTAGAGACTCTCAGTTTCCTATATTTACTGTTCTTTGCAGCAATGATGAAGCGATGGTAGACCATTATGCCCTCCAGAGCAATTTTGCATTGAACATTGGTCATGACGGCATTTTTTGAGATTTTTCCGCTTTTTGACATATTCCTAATCTTTGTAGAAGCATGGAAAATAATTATCTTACTAGTTACATCATAAAATAAACATTCTATAGTGAGCTTGTTATAGGTTTGTTATACTAAATAACCTAATTTTCAGTATAAGCAAGCAATGCAAGGAGGATAAAGAGAGGATCAAGGGAAAGAACATTGGATAGGTTATCAATTTCAAGTGATGGAAGATGTTAGACTCTCAGGTAGACTCGATCCATGGATGGTCGTGACAAGATGATTAGGAATGACAGTATGAGTGATAGATTGTTGATCAAGCCAATTCTCATCATTTTGTTTTTTGGATGGGTAAGCCGACCCTCTTCATTGTGAAGCAGAAAACTTCATTCTGATGAATTCTCAAAGGGAAACCCAGGTGCAGAAGGGGTTATTAGAAAGAAAAAATGACTAGGGAAATACCAGATGCTTTTAAATCCACCTAGGTAAAAATGACTCAATCTGAGTTGAAGCCTAGATATTTTTACAGCGGTTCAAGAATCCCATGAAATTTCATGGTTGTCCCAAGGGGATTATGTGAATATCATAAAAGGACTTAAAAAATAACCAAATTTTAGAAAAAATTTCATCCGTACCAAAACAAATTTAAATGACAAATAGCCAACTTGAAAATGAAGAAGTGGGCATGGTATCAAATAGTTAAGACCTAAGAAAGCAAATCTACAAGGAAGATATTGTAAGGTGAGCTTTCAAGCCACATTTGTTCTTGGATCACCTCTCATGCTGCAATTTGCTCTTGTTCTTCATTAAATGAGAAAATAAAAATCGATCTTTTCGGACCAACACATCAGGAACCCTTGTCAACAGATGTTTTTCTATTGCCTTCTACTCTATATCATCTGTAGCTTCTCACATTCCCAGTAAATCAGTACATCCTAGGGACTCTAGTCACTCTCCAAATGGTATTTATCTATTTCCCTAGAAAGAAAAACCCTATTTGTGACAAAACTTAAGGAAGCTCTACTCCAGTTTCAGATATTTATGAAAAATTGAAAGAGGAATCTTGGCATAAAGCATGAAGCACAACACTCAGGTTGGGATTTGTATAGATTAACAAAACAGCTCATAAACAAACAAAATTAACAGGTTCATCTAGCACCACTTATTAAGTATGCAAATAAATAAATGAAAACCACCAGTTTTAAAATAAATAAGAACAACCGTGATTACCAATGAAAAGAAACAGAAAATGCCGGTCATTATATGAGTTCAAAGTGTATAGAAGTAACTACAAAGCATTTGCGAAATATGGACAAAGTGGACTAAACCCACAAAAAAAAAAAAGGAACTCCATACAAACAATGCATCTTAATTATTTATTTTCTTTAACTATAGAAAGCCAAAATTAAATAAAAAAATAAGTCCCTATATCCTGAACTGCTCCTTCTCCACAATGAATAAACAAAACAAGCAGAAAAATCCCTGGCACTGCCATTTAATCACCAAAAAATTGTTGGTTTCTCAGAAAATCAAATATAATTCAGGCATATTTCAGAGAAACTAGATAAATTTAAAATCCCAGCCCCAAAAGGCTTCAAAACCCAAATAATCCACTGTAGCACAAAGTAATGCTAGAGGACTAAACTTAGCTGAAAATAAACAATGGGGTCCTAATCTTTGGAGCTTTAAAACAAAATAAACCCATAAAACATAAGTATTAACTAACATGCATTAACTATTCGTTAAAAAATTTAAGAAAAAGGACAGAACAGGAGCAATCTTCCAATAAAATCAAGACATGAACCACAGTTAAAGAAGATAAATTTGCAATAAATCCCAAGAAAAATTACTTTTTGCATTCTCATTTAACCATAACAAATAACTATTGAGAAAATTAGGATTAGAATGAAATTACCGGTGAAAAAGGCAAAGCCGCGCTTGGCCATTGCCATGGATGAAGGCCTGAAAAAGGCAAAGCCGCGCTTGGCCGTTGCCAGGGATGAAGGCCCCGAATGGTTGGTGCTGGTGTTCCAAAGTACTTCATACATATACATATACTTATACCAAATGATTTACTGCTCCGACGGGAGTATACTATTCATCTTCTTCATCGGATATAACATAGGCTTCGAACACCTTTTAGATCGGGGGTGCGGTTTGTTTGAGCCTAAGCTCTAAACAATCGAACTAAAGCGCACCGTCAAATAATATCGAGAAATGTGGTTTCAATATTAAAAATTTTTGTGATACTTTTAAAATATATTTTTTTTTTAATTATAAAAGTTAACTTTCTAAAATAGTGTGGAATGAGTATATCTACGGAAACTTGAAAATTGACCATCCAAAAATACACAAAATGCATTATTTTCAAAACTTGAAATTCCTTTTTTTTCTCATGTCTGTGCATCTTAATGTCAAGATGATCAATTTGAGTATATTTGAGTATTAAAACAACTACTTCTAGTGAAATGTTTTGGGTGCGCTTTAATTTGATTGTTTAGAGCCTCGGCTCTATATAAACCTTCTTCTTTAGATTAGGATGTAATCCTCTGATCCCATTAAAAAAATGAATTGTATTCAATGGGATATTTTTTACCAGTAGTATGCACCTGCCGTGCAGGTGTATTAAAATGTTATGTATGTAATAATCTTTTTAGGGTGCGGTTTGTATAGGGCTTAGGCTCTAAACAATCAAATTATAGCCTATTTTCAAATAGTATTGAGAAATGTGGTTTCAATATTGGAGATCTTTGTGATAGTCTTAAAATACATTTTCATATTTATTTATAAAATTTAAAGATTCAAAAATATTGCAGATCGACATATCTATGAAAACTTGAAAGTCTTAAAAATTGATGGTCCAAAAATGCGTCACAAAATACACTATTTCCAAAACTTGAGATCCATTTTTTTCTCATGCCCATGCATCTTGATGTCGAGATGATCAATTTGAAGATATTTCGGCACCAAAACAATATATTCTAGTGCAATTTTTTAAGGTAGGCTCAAATTTGATTGTTTAGAGCCTCGGCTCTATATAAATTTTTCCCATCTTTTTAATGTAATTTTATAAGTAAAATAAATTTACAAAATCTAAAATAAAAACATAAAATGAAATAAAATTTAAGATAAATTCTATAATAAAATAAAAATAATAGTTTCTCATACATATATGGAGAAAGCAAAAGAGAAATGAAATACTTTTCATAGCAAAAGAGAGATGAAATATTTTTATGAACAAACAACAATGATTGAAATACTATTTGATTGAATTGACATAAATTTAGTGAAATGAAAAAATTATTTACGCGTTATACTAAATAAGACATAAAATTTTAATACATCAAATTAAGTAATATAGAAAGGATATTATTATAATTATTAATAAATAATCATAGTAATATTTATTACCTATAAAATAAATTTATATTATAGAACTATTCATATGGTATTAAAATAAATTGATATGAGAAACTTAGAACAATAAATTAATATTATTCAATTAAAATTCTAATAGTATAATATAATTGTTGAATCTATAACTAATCAAACTATATTTAATATCGTTATACCAAATGAATTATATTATTCATGTACATATACTAACGACATTTATAATGTCAACCAAAAATATCTCCAAAATAATATTATTATTAATATATAGTTCCATAATTACATTTAT